CAATTCCAACAGTAAATTCTTTATTTGCTGAGGGAACATATCATTGAATGAATGACATTCAAACTCTGTAGAACAGATTTTGAAGGTATATGAGTGAAAACAAACTCCTCCACACTCTTAGTTCCCTGATATAAGTTTTTCATCCTCAATGAAAATGTTCTGCAAAATTTGAATAAAGAAGCTATTACTGTATTTCAGATTTATTACATTGAGAACTTATTACCTTCTTCCTATCAGATGACTGAAGTGATGAATTTTTTTTTTAAAGCACGGGACACCTCAGTGGTTATCAAACTGTCTGCCATGGATACAAAGGATGTCAGGAAATCAAACCAGGGGTGCCACAGAATCCTCTCATCCTTCTCCTCCCCCCCCAAGTATTGTACATCACTTACTTAACAGTTTCTCTGCTGTTCATGCATGGTGCAGAGGCCTCTTTCCAAAGGACTGCGTTTTCTGCTCTCCTGTTAGCAAGGGAGGCTTCCCTGGCTCCCCCTTGCAAAAAATGTGGCTTCTCCATTTTTTGCAGAAGGTGCTTCCCTCAGAGAAGTCAAGCCATGAGTGAGTTCCATCAAGCCACCTGTATATAGCACGTTCTCTGTTTCCATCCAGTGGCCAGTTATGGTAATACACCTTGGGAAGGTATATTCTTGTTGTGTTGTTGTTATTTATTTATTTATTTATTTATTGGTCAAGCAGTGAATAAGTAAAACTGCAGGTACTGGTCCCATGGATACAGCAGCCCTATTGAAACGGGGAGCTAGTGGCCAGTACGTTAAGGGTGCCACAAGTCAAAAAAGTTTGGGAACCACTGGAATATCTCATAAAATCAAGAAATACTAGGATCACAGGTGGTTAAAAAATGCATATTGTATCACAGAATATATTTTGTATCTTCAAAGTCTGAAGCCTTTCTAGAGAAGAAGAAGTATAGTAGAAAGAATTTATATTTGTCTGATGTCATCAAAAAGTGACTGTGTAGTTTGGAGTTCACTGAACTAAAGCACTCAATTTATTCAGCTGCCTCAACTTCCTTAATATATGCCACCCAACTTAATCAATGTCTGGATAACTTACAGAAGATGAAGAAAGTGTAATGGCAGCTTTCTGACTCAACATTGTAAATATGAAGAGCATTAGCCTACTGTAACTTACACATCCTTCCACAGTTCCTTGAGGTTGCCTTTCAAGGCAATGCAGCTTTTTTTCTCCAATAACTATTCCAGGAAAAGCCTTCAAGAATTTAATTTGTACCTAATGTTTCTTTCCTTAAGTTAGCACTGAACCTCCTTGGGACAAGTGGCACATAAGCACCTTCCCATGGAGGTTAGTTATTACAAGTGACAGTATATCTCATACTTCCTGCTGACATAACTGCCACAAAGGGGAATGCAGAGACAGTGCAGAACTGAATTTTATAACTACACTGCAGAGAATATTTTTAATCTTTTTTTTAATTGGATTCTTTCCAGAGATTAATAGCTGAGCACTCCATGGATTCAATTCATAATATTACCTCCTGTATCCAGAACATTAAAGAGAAATTTGCAGTGAGCAATACAGAGAGCTTGGGAACAAAGGGTCTATCTGAGCTTACCAAGCTCAACTCCATCCTCAGCCCAGGCATGCAACTCACTGGGTGAGTAGCATTGGGCAAATCTCAATCAGCTTATCTCACTTCATGGAGCAGTTCTTAAGATGAATGAGAATACTAGTGTAGCATTTCCCCCCCTCTCTTGCTAAAATATGCAACAGAATTATTTATAAGTAAATTATTTTCCCCTGAAATGAAAGCCCCACCAGTGCAGTACAACTACTTACACAAGTATTGCTGTAGTGTTAGCAGACGGTGGATTTTCTTCATGGAAATCACCAGCTGTGCAACAGCAAAGTAAGTGCAAGTGGTGCCATTGCTATACTAGTGGGGCCTTCTGCTTTGTGGAAGCTCAATAAGATACTGGCTTATGTGAGTGTCTAGAATCAGATGTTTATCCAAAAACATAAAGTCAAAATGACTTGGGGCTTCCTGTCAACCTCTGATGACTAATGTCAATAAGTGGACAAAATGAACAAAAGTCTTATCTATATTTGGTTGAGGAAAATCTGGATGAATTTTCAGACATGCAGCCTGGAATCCTATTTGTAACTCCCACTCATCCCCTGTGTAACTTCAGCAGCATAACTTTCAGCAGTGAATTGCCATAAGTTAAGAAGTAAGCACAGATATTTCTTACCATGCATGAAGCCCAAGACTCCGTGTGCATTGGGAAATGGCAACTCTGACTGCTTAACTTGCCACAATTTGCTGCTGAAAGTGCACGATAGAAGCCTGACCAAAGGCATCCAGAAAATTCATCTGGTTTCCCCAGTTATGTTACAAATTGGATTTTTGGAGGAAGGCTCTCCCATCAATCCTGACTTAGCGTTGCCTTTGGATTCACCCACAAGGGAAGAGATTTGCAGATCCAAGAATGTAGAGCTAACATTTAAACAGACCTCTGAAACACAAAAATTATCTTATTTTCCTACCAATACAACCCCCCCAAAAAAAACACACATTAAAAATGGCCCTTCAACAGGCAAAATGCAAAATCTACTCTCCCCACTCCGACATATATGTGGATATAAGTGTCAATGATCTTCAACATTTACTGAGATGCATAGATTCAATTCCCAGGGGGATTGTCCTCCACCCTTCCCCCCAGGCATTTAACTAAGATGTATTAGCAGCCAACAACACAATTCAGATCCATGAGGGCACAGACAAGAGTAGAAAGGGGGTAGCTTTGCTTCTGCAGCCAACGGTTCAAGTAACTGCACAGAGCTGTTGACAGGCATTCCATTAGCAGCAAACTGACCCTATTTTACTAGCAGCTGTGGTATAGCCAAAATCCCAGCTGGTACAGCCAAAATCCCATTCATTCATTCATTCATTCATTCATTCATTCATTCATTCATTCATTCATTCATTCATTCATTCATTCATTCATTCATTCATTCATGTTTAACATACAAGGACAATTGACCAGTCTGTACTCTTCAAGACTTTGACAGAGAGAGTTCTATGGTTATCTTTATTATGTACTTTCTGCCTCCAGTGCCCACAGTTATTGGAAAAATGTGACCAAGTTATATGTCTATAAGGTGTGTTTCTATGTGTTTCTATGTGTATAGTGGTGCATGGGCATATCGTTATATGTCTATAAGGTGTGTTTCTATGTGGTGCGTGGGCATATCGACTTTAACAAGGCATTGGAATTCATGTAGAGACACCAAACACTGGAGTAAGCACTCAAGCTGCACCTTCGCAGCAGTACATTTAAAATCACAACAGAGATGTGCCCAGAAGCAGAGGACATTTTGACCGATTTTATGTACTCTTCAAGTCATCATTGTCACCATCTTGAAACTATGGAGCTGAAAGGGACCCTATGGATCATCAAGGCCAGCCTTTGTCAAGGAGGCGCAGTGGGGAATCAAACTCCCAAACTCTGGCTCCTGAGCCAGATACCTAAACCTCTGAGCTATCCAGTAGTGACTGGAAGAGGGATTTACATCTTGCACTCACAGCAGTAGATTTATACCAAGAATCTCACAATCACATGTCTGTCACTGTTGTTCCAAGAGACAAAGAGGCAAATCACCCAAAGATAAAAGGAATAAACCCCAGTTTCCTTCGTCTTCTTTCTGTATTACACAGCCCTCAGTCCTATAATGTCAAACACCTGGCCTGCATCCAAGTAGCAGCCCCAACAAGAGTGGGCTCACAGAATCAAGGGAATTTACTTTAAAGTATTGACTCATGATTCCACATGATTCTTGAATAAGAAGTGCCCACAAGTGCAATGCTGCTTTTTTTTGGTACATTCAGAATCCCATTTGCCTGAGCAATGTGAGGGGAAATTGTACTTGTTGCTCTGAAAAAAAATATTCTGAAACATATCAGATGGGGTGGGGGAGAGGGATCTCAGACAATAGTGACAATAGTCTTTCTAGTTCTCCCTGGCTTTTACTGAGAAGCACTGTGAGAAGTGAAAGTGGACGGTGATTAAATCCTCTACACACCTGAATCATTGTGGAACTCAATTCACAATGAAATATGTCCAGAAGTCAGCACTGATTTGGGGGCTGCTCAAAAGGAAGTGCCACTCTTTAAATGTTTCCACGGATTGTCCTTTAGTTCCATAAGGCTACATATGTGTCTATATTGAAAATAATTACAAAGCAGCTGATCTTAAAGGTGCACTCTGTTGAGGATGGTGGAAAAATAACAAGATAATTTTGGGCTGCTGAGATATTAAAAAAGAATCACTGAATGCATACCTGACCCACAGAAAGCAAGGTGCTTGATAAATGTGTGCATGGTCTGAATAGCTTGGTTAATTTGTCATCCTTTCAGGATAAGGTTTAAACATTTACAGCCTTGATGGGGAATAGATAATAGATAGTCCCCACATACATAGCATACCAATTTCTGTTGTTTTTTTCCCCATTTTATTTTACAACATATATCTCTGAAGTGCAGCTTTAGAAACCACCCTTAAGCTGCCACTGAAAAATGAAAGTCCCTGAACAAAAAACAAGCTTTTAGATAACAGAGTTTTATTTTCATCCCTAAATTCCTTGTAAGATGAGACATTTATCATGCGTGTTTACATCAAGGAGCTACAAGTTCTGAAAATAAAGTCTCTACCCCAAGGTCAAACATGCTGAAAGAGATGGGAGTTCTAAGGAACAAACAAGAAACAGACACGAATTTCTATGGAATTGCATCTGAGAGAGCAGTGTTCTGTCAGTTGTTTACCCCATTTCAGAAGCATGCAAATTATTATTTTTTTTGCACAAACAGATAGTGTCAGGTAAAATTTGATGAAAGGGCTTCAGATTTTTAGAATTGGCTCCTACATATGCCACTATGGCGTCACTGCATCTTTGCACTGCTTTTAGAACTGCTCCAAAGTTTTTGAATGAAACAGTATCCCAATGCCTTGTGAGCTTACCGCCAATCAAAATAGTCTTCATCCACGGTGTGAAGAATGCTACGAGATCCACCAAATGCACAATTCTCTTTCTTCTACTGTTCTCCAAAAGGATTTCCTGTTAGGAAACAAAGAAACCTTGAAAGATTCATACACACAAATGAACAAATAAAACCGTAATTGCTGTAGATCTTAATGTCAGTAAAAACATAGCCATCAAACCAGAAGACAGCAGGAATATGACCATTAAAAATGCAATAGCATCATGCCTTAGTTAAGTCTTGTGGATCTTCTACCACTACAAGTAAATCATCTGTGAAGGCTTGTACTTTAAATGACTCACCTCTAATTTTAAGCCCTTTAATTTAATCAGAGATTCTTATCTGTTGCAACAAAATTTCAATTAATATTATTATGAAAGAATTAAAAGAGTTTGGAGAAATGGCGGGTCTGAAAATAAATCACAGGAAGACAAAAATTTTATCTAAAAACATGTAATATAAAGAAACAGACGGCCTCTTGAATTTTACAAATTTCCAGGAGGGAAAGAAAGTAAAGTATATTGGAATAAACTTTAAAAAAAAACCATCAAGTACCTTAATGAAAGATAATTATCTGAAATTGACGGAAGAAATAAGGAAAGACTTCACTAGATGGGGAAATCTACAATTAATAATTATGGGCAGAATTATAAGAGTCAAAATGAATATTTTACCAAAGTTGATTTTCTTATTCCAAAACATTCCAGTGATTCTGAAACAATCAATATTTAAAGAACTTGATCAGATTATATCTAAGTTTGTTTGGCAAGGAAAGAAACCAAGGATAAAATTAAAGTCACTTCAGGACAGGAAACAGAGAGGAGGAATGGGTCTTCCAAATTGGCTGCTATAATATAGGGCTGTCTCATTAACGTGGATTAAAGATCAGATTTTATTGAAAAAATGAATACTGATAAAATTGGAAAGTCATGATTTGGAATGGAGGTGGCATACCTTTCTTTGGTACAGTAGAGTGGACGATTTTAAACAATTGAATAATCACATTTTGAGAAAATCTTTATTATCATCTTGGACCAAAATTCAAAGACAGATGTATGTCAAAATACCATGTTGGGTAACGCCAGTGGAGGTATTGTCTCTAAAACCAGATGGGACATTAAAAAACAAAGATAAAGTATGAAGATTTTTGGCATAAATTCTATGATTGGCTTAGAAACAGAATGCAAATTAATATTTTATATTTGAAAGCCTAAGATTAATTTAGAAATAGAATATGTATTATAAATTAGTTACACTGGAAACATGTATCTTTGAAATGTAATAGATAAGTATGAATATTGTAAAATGTTCATGTCGATTTACAACCCCTCTTCAATTGCATGTCCCATCCCCTATCCTTACACCTAACCTATACGTAAAATGTTCATGTTGATTTACAACCCCTCTTCAATCGCATATCCCATCCCCTATCCTTATACCTAACCTATATAAAAAAAATGCAATAAATACCATCGTAAGTGTAAACTTACTGGAACAGGAAGAAGCAAAACAAAACAGGACCTATTTTCTATTCAGGTTCAGCATGCCCAAACCCAAACCACACCTACCATGTTTGTAATTGTGAAAGAACTTGGAGTAGGGCTTTAAAATGAGTTATCCAGGAGGCTATAATGAAAGGAAAGGGATATGGTGGCACTGTGGGCTAAACCGCAGAAGCCTGTGCTGCAGGGTCAGAAGACCAGCAGTCGTAAGATCGAATCCACGTGACAGAGTGCGCTCCTGTCGCTTTGTCCCAGCTCTTCGCCAACCTAGCAGTTTGAAAGCATGTAAATGCGAGTAGATAAATAGGTACCACCTCGGTGGGAAGATAAAATGGCGCTCCCTAGTCATGCTAGCCACGTGAACGGGCGCTCCCTAGTCACGCTAGCCACGTGACGACAGAAACTGTATTCGGAGAAGCGCTGGCTCTATGCCTTGAAAAACGGGATGAGCACCGCCCCCTAGAGTCAGACACGACTGGACTAAAAAATGTCAAGGGGAATCTTTACCTTTACCCATAATCAAAGGAGGCATGTCCTAGGATAAGTTCCAAGCCCTTTAACTTATTTGAATCACCTGATACCTGAACATTTCAGAGTTGTTTTCAATAATAATACATCAGCTTTCATCATACAGTGGACCCTTGACTTACAGACGGCTTGACTTACAGACTTTTTGAGTTACAGACTTCTCTGGCTGCAAAATTTAGGTTTGACTTGCAGACTGAGATTTGACTTACAGACCAGAAAAAAACCAAAATGGAACAAAAACGGCCTGTTACGGGATTAATCGGTTTTCAATGCACTGTAGGTCAATAGAGACTTGACTTACAGACTTTTTGACTTGAGAACCGCCTTCCAATACGGATTAAGTTCTCAAGTCAAGACCCCACTGTAGTAAAAACATAGGTCTGTTTACCTGAATTGCTGCAGTGTAACTCTTAATGGAGGAAGCCTGCATGACAAACTAATACAAAATGCTGGGATTAATCGGTTTTCAATGCACTGTAGGTCAATAGAGACTTGACTTACAGACTTTTTGACTTGAGAACCGCCTTCCAATACGGATTAAGTTCTCAAGTCAAGACCCCACTGTAGTAAAAACATAGGTCTGTTTACCTGAATTGCTGCAGTGTAACTCTTAATGGAGGAAGCCTGCATGACAAACTAATACAAAATGCTTTTCCATTAACCCGGGGGGGGGGGAGGAATCAAAGAACTCCTAGATGCTAGCAAAAGTTTGAAGCTTGGATATTACATCCTGGCCTGCAGGCAGACCACTCCAATGAGTGAGCATTTCTGCAGAAATCAGCTGTTAGCCTGTAATTGCAGTGAATTGTTTCATTGTCTATATTAGTGGAGTAAAAGAGGAATTTTTCCTTTCTGTCTGAATTCATCAGTAGTTGCAATTTCAGATGCTATTCTGTGCCAACAGAACTGAGGTCCTGTTCTCACTGTAAGCTGGGTCTGCTTTGCACCTAATATTTTATATAAAATATATAACATTCCTTAAGTATAGCCCTGATATTGGTTGTGTGTATTCCTGAACTATAATCTACCATACTTCAGATACCTCTGATAAAGTAGCTCTCAGATAATGCTGCCTCTATCTCCATGCTGAGCCTGCAAGGCTGTGGGGTTGGGGCTTATTACTGCCCCCGCCCCATGAGGAGTTAAGAGTAGAGATGCCATTTCTGCCTCAACACTTGCTGAGTAGGGATGTGAGGGCTTAAAACCTCCGCACACAGAAGTCTTGATGAAAGGGAATTTAACACATCTGCTTCTTTTATCCTGAAATTCCAAGGTATGTGCTGGGGCATTTTTTGAAGAGGCACTTCAAAAATAAAATTAAAAAATGAATAAATGGAGGCACTCTCAAACAAAAACATTAAAACTTTTAGCACTAAATTTGGCCCAGCATGAGTGGCTAGCTTGAGGTTTCATGGAGCTGAAATCTGAAACACATGGCATGCCAAAGCTTGACACCCACCAGTCTCTTGACTTATTATGATCTTTCATAAACTGATTGGCAGATGCTCTGTAAGATCTCAGTAAGAGAGAGAGAGAGAGAGAGAGAGAGACCTTTTTTCTTATGGCCTTTTACCTGATCCATTTAACTGGAAATACCAGGAATCAAACCTATCATTAACTGCTTTGCTTAGATCTTGCAAACCAACAGCACTGGCTTTCCTTATTGGGTCTCATGCTAGGTCATTCTCTCCTCCTACTGCCCCCTCCCTTCCCGAGCGATCTGCTCAGGCCTTGCAAACTAACAGCTGTAGCTTCCTTTAATGTGTCAATTTGTCTCACGTTACGCATTTATCTCTTCCTTCTCTCTCACCACGTTTTCCCAGCAAGGTTGTCTCTTTTTTTATCAGCCTTGAACACCCACTGATCTGCTTTTCTAAGTGGCCTGTGGTATCCGCAAGGCTCCTCCAAGACCACAACTTCAAATGAGTTGATTTCTCCTCTTTCAGTCTTTTTTCCTTTTTCATCTTTTACATAGTATGGATGACTTTGGCCTTGGTAATATAATAATGTAGCACACATATAGAAACAGATTCCTCAGGCCAAATGTAGCGAACGTCAGCTGACGTAGACTCCTAGAAACATGATAAGGCCTACAGGACCTCCAAATGTATTGGGATGTTACAAGATGTGACATTGGAGGTGTAGAGAGGCCCATTTACAAAACAACAGAGCTTCAGTCTTCAGGAAGAGCAACATGAACGTAGAGATAAGAAATACACAACTGGAGTGCCAAGATGTCTGGAAATTAGAAGGACAATGAGAGGGGGGGACTCCATCTCTCCCCATGCGCCAAGATGTCTGGAAATTAGAAGGACAATTAGAGGGGGGACTCCATCTCTTCCCATGTCCTGTCAAGAACTAATAGGTCACTGGATCACAGCCTGAGCACCTATTAGGGCAAGGATCAATCTTGTTGTAGATTAGGCTCAAGCATGGTTTTATTTCCCTATTTGTAAACAGTAGATATGAATCTGACCAATGTATTTTTGGGGCCTTCTCACTCTTTATGAGAGGAGCCCCAGCCGTCTGTTTTGGCATACTTTGTTTTCTCAATAAAAATGTGTTGTATCACAGCTTGCTGGTCTGTGTCCAATCTTATGCCTGAGATCAGCTCACATTTCCAAAAAGCCTTAAAATCAAGGCTAACAGCAGGTGCATTGGGCGGCTCTTCTCCAGTGAACTTTTTTTCCACAACAGGAGGATTGGGCCTTCCCACACTGGGAATCTCTGCTTGGTGTGCCCTGGTAACTGCTCCTTTCGGTGCTTGGGTTCGGGGAGGCTGGCTGACTGGGAACTAATCCCTTCCTGGTGAAGACACTCCATTCTCATCTCTGAAGCGTTCTGCTCATGATGACCAAGGGTGACAACAAGTATGCCAGGAATGGAGGAGTGTGAGAGTGTATGTGTCTTAAGTCTATTGCCTGATTTTTAATAGTGTGCCAGTGCTAGGCAGATGGGAATTACGTGGCATGCCTTTGTACGCCATTCAGCCACATCCTCATAGGGGGAGGCCTCTTGGATGCATTTTGAGACATTGGGCAGCC